CAGCCTCTGTTCGGTCACGAGTCGACCCTTTTCTATATTGAATTCCTCCTCAGCCTTGGCGTCGATCTCTTCCGCCTTTTCATTGGCCTCTTGTTCTATGAAAGCCATCATATGTTTGATCTGAACAATGGATCCAATGTTACCATTCATTCACATGTAATCACATCATGTCTTAAATACCTGTTTCTGAACGTCTGCGTCACTCAAAGCCATTTTGGATCAGTTGATGGTTTATGGGTTACTTCACTTCAATGCAAATGACAGACAATTACTAAATGTGTTTCGGATGTGATTTAAATGACAATTAAATCGCTAAACGAGTCAATCATTAGCTGTAATGAGAGGCAAATGACTGCAATTAATGGGCGTTTAATGCATTGATTAGACCTATGATTACAACAACCAGTGAAGCACTGAATGTACAGTAATTTCGTCCAACAATGCACTCACTGTTGGTTTGTTAGACCAACAGAATATTCTGTTCATTCATTGAATCACAGAATATATTCATTTTAATACAGTATTACACTTGTTTTGTCTAACTTTTATTCAATCCTTATATCGTATACCAAATTATTTCACTTAAAATTCAAACTTTCTTTTTCTATTAAAATGTTTTTATTCATAAGCGTGTCTTTGAATTAATTTTATTATTAGTCTATTTAATACACATTATTAATATTTTTATTAAATCATAGCAATACTCAAACTTTAATGTTCAATAAGAGCATTGATTTAATTGAGTATATGTTTAGAATAATAAAATTGTTATTTAAACAATATTTTAAAATAAATAATGTCATTCTATAAAATAATTATAAATGTATCCTACTTATTAAATGAGAATGTAATAATTTTAAAAATATTATTGTCAATTATTTTCTTAAAATACTTTCGTATTATTTTGGTATAAATTGTAAATCAAATAAATATTTTAACAGTTATGTTCCCTATTATACTGCAGTACATTGTATCAATATTTTTTCGATACTGTATAATAAAATATAAGTTCTTAGATAAATTAAGTAACCTTGACCATTTTATCAGACAGTACTACTCTTACAGGTATTATAGTGCTCTTATGTGCTGTATTAACTAATTAAAAAATAAAATATTATTTTTGCAAAATAATGAAATAATTGTCGAGTTATTTGACTAACAATTCAATATTGACACAAAACACAGCAAAAGGAAATGAATGAATGAATGAATGAATGAATGAATGAAAAGTTTGTACGCTTTTGGTTGGAGTGAAGGGAAACTGAAGCAATCAAAGTGACTGACAGTACGAGTGCTGCAAACGCTATAATACGCTATTTTGTCACCAAATATAATATTTACAAATAATTATAGTCAACACATATGCTGTTACACTATAGAGGGGGTGTGGGATTACAACATTGTTACTTTACTTATTGAGTCAATATTATTGACATAATGTTAGGGTTATGTAAATATAATGTTTATAATAGATAACAGTATTTGTGATTATTATATAAGCAATGAGTAGTGATTGCAGTGAGTGTTGACATGAATTGAATTGGATTTACAGTGAAATGAGACTATATTTCGGTTATAATTACAATTGAATGCAATTATATGTCCATTGATTACCACTGATATCACAAAAGTTATCCAAGTTTTACATTAACGTAGAAATTGTTATCAATTAATTGATCCCAAGAAATGTCACAAAATATGTCAAACACTTCACCGAAAAGTGTGGAAAACAATGCAAACTCACGGCTCGTCCGCAACACCAATGTATTGATCGGAAGACTTCCCGAAAACTTCTTGAGATTCTCGAGCGATGAGACGAATGGCGAGTCGGATGGCGGACAGACTGAGAGGCAGATCCAGTGCGATGAA